CCACTTGCAGGCCGAATTGTCCGTGTACACCGTGAATACGTTGCCGAGCAGGTACACACGCTACTTTTTGAGACAAAAATTTATACCGATGAGCTCCTTTTCGTGTGCCGGCCAGCGTTTCTCGATATCACTTAGCTTGCGACTCAAGAGCGCTAACGGATGTTCCACACCATCAATTACTTGGCTCAAAACCCCACATCAGATGCGTCCGTCATGACGAAGAATGGCAGAGTGAACACGGGTAGATGCAGAACTGGAGAATTTTGCAGGAGAGCGCGGACACCATCAAAAGCTTGGATCTCCTCGGTGCCCCAACGCCAACCAGCTGAAGTCTTGGCCAGTTCAGTCAGCGGATACACCAGCGCCGAGCACTGCGGGATGAATCGCCGGTAATAGCCGCAGAGCCCTAGGAAACGCTGCAGCTCTTTCCGGTTGCGAGGAGGCTGCATAGTCCGGATAGCCTACGTCTTGGCTGGATCTAGGGTGATCGTTGATGATGAGATCTGATGGCCCAGGAAAACGATTGATCGTTGCGACCAACGGTACTTGTCCTTGCGCACATACAGCTTGGCCTACGAGTAACACCTCACGCAGATGGGTTACATGCTCCACCAGCGACGATTAAAATACGCAGATATCATCCAAATAAACCTCACAAATTCCTTGGAATTTGGGACGGCCAAGGAGGTGACGCATGAGTCGGGACCATGAATCCGGCATTCCGGCGAGTCCCATCGGCGCGACGACCCATTGGTACAGCTCGCCGTTTGCCTGGAAGGCGATCCGTTCTCGTGCACGTGGCTCGAGCAGCATATGATGATAGCCAGACATTAAATCGAGGGTCGAAAAGTACGCAGCACCACTTAACTTGTCAAAAATATCGTCTACACGGGGGATTGGAATCTTCGGGATGCCGCTTTGAGAATCGAGGTGCCTGTAGTCAATCACCCATCGGATGGATATGTTGGCATCACCGCTGCGAAGCCATTACGAGTGAGTTGGTGCTGCACCAGTCGCAACCGCCTTCTTCGGAATTGCAAAAATGTTGGACACCCAGGCCGAGTTAGATTTTTCGATGTTGTTGTTGCCGAGCAATTCCTTGACAAACTTCGCCAGCTCTTGTTCTTCAACGCGAGCGTGCAGGAATGACGAGCGTGATGATGGCGCAGCATCTGGCTTCAGCACGATGTCATGCTAGATTTCTCGCTCCGGAGGGAGCTTGCTCGGCAACGACGATGGAAAAACGTCGTCAAACTCGTTCAGCAGTATAATAACGTCACGCGGTGTCGGCTTCGGTGCACCTGACTCTAGCACCAGCCGGAATATCTCGAAATACACATGGCTGGCCAAACGCTCCTTGAACGACTGAAGAGAGACTTCAAGTGGAGCCAAACACCTGGAGCTTTTGGACAGCACGGGAGTAGCTTGATCTTCACCTCGTGTTGCTGGTGGTGAGTCGTTCGGGGACTCGTGACTTGAGCCGGGCCAGGTTAGCGACCGAGACGGCCAGTTGATTCTGGGATTGCTGGCCTCCAGCCATGGGCGACCCAGTATACCATCGTACGCATATTCGAGGGTCCAGAAGGCAAACGGCACTTGCACTACTGACACACCGCAAGTCACTTCCATATCAGAGATGGGTACGACACGCTGCTGAGCACGTCCATCGAAACCTCGAGCTACTAACATCGTCGTAGACATTGCGGACGTGTCGAAGCCTCGGCCCAAGGCCAAGACACAATGGGAGGCGCCAGAATCAATCAACATCGAGCTGTCGCGGCCCGAAATACAAACAGTTTGCAGAAACGGATTCGAAGCGGACACACTGCGAGGTGTGACCGACATTTCCGTCGTCGAGAGGTCTGCCATCTCTACGATTGTGGTGTCCGTTTGGACTGTAGGAGATTGTGAACTGATGTTGCGCTCGGTGGATACTCCACTTACATCCGCCGAGCTTGCTCGTTTCCCGGATATCCACCGCCCTGTGTAGACGTACGCCGAGGACACTGGCCAATGCGGTGTCCTGTTCGCTTGCAGTAGAAGCACAGACCTTCGCGACGACACTGCTCCTTGCTGATGGAGCGCGTGGCCACAGCAGAGACGTCCATTGGCATCGGAGCATCACTAGCTGAACGACCTCAAGAAATACGACGTGGCTCAGACGAAGAGTGGAAATGGGTACGCTCGAATGCTTGGGCGGCGGCAATGACTTCGGACAGCGTGCCACACCTCCGATACATGACTTCCTTACGGATTTCCGACTTGAGGTCATCGCAAAAGCGATCGACCTGGTCCATGGCGCTCATCTCACGAATCTGAGCCATGAGTCGACGAAACTCGCGGACATAGTCCTCGACCGAGCCACGCTGGTGGCAAGCTTTAAGCTCGGCCCGTAGCCGAAATTGCTGATCGGATGGCACAAAATTCTCACGTATAGCATCCGCGAGTGCGTCCACCATGGCGAAAGTGACATGGTCGATCACGACTCGGGCGTGATACCACGACGCTGCTGGTTGGAAGCAGCCACGTCGTCGATGCCCTTGCCCTCCATGAAGAGCTTAGCTCGAAAAAACACTCGTCGACCAATTTATCCGACTTCCCGCTGAAGATCGGCATGGACACTCCTTCGAGGCGGTACGCACGAGCAAGTTGAGGAGATGGCACGACTTGCTGCAGCTGCTCCTGGTAGGCATGCAGCTGAGCCTGAAAATCTTGATGCATCTGCGCGTTCTGCTGACTGAGACCGACAGCGATTCGGTCGATGGCTTGAACAAACAGCTCAAACGGGCTGAGCGGAGCCGTTCCAGCCGGCAAATGATCCACGTTTCCGGATTCTTCCATGTTGGATCGTAGAGTGACGACGAGCAAGGGGTTCCAGAGGATTGAGGGCGAAGCGACGACAGCTGAAGACTTGACGAGGCGTTCCCTTCCCCACAACGAAGAGAAGTGCTACCAATTGGAGTGAACCACTTGCTCAGACTGAGGCAAAATGCAGAATGAATTCAAACGGCCGGGCCTTTTAGCTCCTACTGCTCTCTCCTACATGGACCTCCTTGACAGGTAAAGACACGCCAGTCCAGCCCGCGTGAGCGCGAGCTGTGTCGTAATCACATGCAGTGTCGTGGCAGCTCTGGGAGGCTGCAAATGGTCTCGTCATCAGGCACTACTCCACGCAACTATGTTCTTCGGCTTGATTGGTGACATCTGAAGAGCAGACTGTTGATGATTGTAGATATCGCTGAGTTCTGCCACTGGATTAGCGCAGCCACTACAAAGAAGACCAGAGTGCATTAGTGCTTACATCGCCAGATAAACTGGTGGCTTGCACTCCCGAATATCGGCACTTAGATCTTCCTCGCAATGGCAACATTTACTAGCGCATGGTCGCATATATAGAAGCACAGCTGGGCTGCCTCAATTCCATACATGTCGAGAACATCATCAAGAAGATCGATGATGGCATCAGCACTCATGTCCGTCTCGTTCTCGAGCGTCGCGAAGCGCAACAAGATATTTCCCCTTCTGTGATGGCGATGATGGTCATGAAGTGGGTGTTGTCTTCAGTCCATGTGTCGATTGCAAAGCCAACTTTCTTTCCCGACAGCCGCCTCCTGACGGTCGATTGCACAGCGCCTTCGAGCGAAAACATGCTCTTCTTCAGCAGCTTCACGCTGCTGTGGTTGAGGTGCGTGTACGTACGCCTCTTTACCTTCTCGCACACGGTTAGCCCCGGTTATCCATGATGACCCAGTCCAACCAGTGGTAGATGTTCCGCGAAAAACACCACCCTTCACAAATGCATCGAGACTTCCTTCACGCCGCTGAATGGTACGAAACTCGTCTTCGTGGGTGGCGGTGTGGCAGCGGGTAAAGTGCTCCACCAGGTCCGTGTAGCCTGCTTGTTTTCGGTGCAAGAAGCACAGGCGGCACTGGTAGTAGTCGCCATCTTCTGGGTCAAAGAGAACGGCAGCGAGTGGCCTTAGGGGAACGGGGGGCATCGAAGCGGGGGGGGGTGTAGCTGAAATCAAATTGAGCTGTGAGGCCTGGTGTGGACTCCAACAATCTTTAACGCAATGGACGGCGCTCGTCCGAGCAGTTTCCGACCACCAATTTATTAAGTCTGGTATCGAGCTTCATATTTATAGTTTTGTCTAATTGAGGATGAAAGTTCAATTACATTTTTTGTAGTATCTTTTTAAAATTATAATTACTGATATTATTCTTTGCCTAGGGGCGAATGAGTGATGCTCAATTGAAAAGTGTGAGTAGCATGCTCATTGTGTCCCAAATCTGTTTGCTTTTTCAATTAGTATGCATTGGCTGCTCTGTCTCTGAATGTTGCATGCTTTAGAGCAGATACTTTTCAAAGTAACCCAATAAACCCGCTCTTAGAAATCACTGGGTGGGTGGGTCGATTAATAAATAGAATACCTTTACAAAATCGTAATATTTTTGCGAACACTGCTCGTAAACTGCTCACGTGTTTTTGAAAAAATAAAAATTAAATGCCTTTAAAAGCAGGGCATGGGAAATGTTTTTTTATTTTGCAATAAAAGTCGCTCGATTATAAAGATTGTAATATCAAACTTTCAATTATATCTAATTTAGAGCAACAAATCCAGTTACTATTGCAATTAAATAGAAAGATTCTTGTTTTTGTAAGTCGGTTAGATCAATGCTTTTAAAGGCTTCAATAATAATAATTCGAATACGCCTTTAAACAAAACAATAGTAATTCCGTAGATCTAATACCCATAATTGCGACTTTTTATAAAAAAAGTCCCACTAAAAGTGCTCATTGTTTTCGCTCTTTTTATAACTAATTTTAATTTGATTTTAGCTTCTTACTTAAGAAGCAAAGTGCTCTTTAGAATTAAATCAAAACACTTTTGTTTTCAAAGCAAAGTGCTTTTCATTTTAAAATATAAAAACTTACTTTTTGTTTCCAATCGTGAAACCTCATATACGTAGGGGTTTTAAGGAGAACCAAAAACGTGGCAATGTCAAGCGGAGGCGTCAATGTCGGCTCCTTATTACTGCTGCTTAGCGGCATCTTCGCTGTGTTCGCGGCACTGCTCGCTCGCCACGGATTCACAGGCCGAGACCATGGTGTGTAGTACATTTTACCATCACAACTCAGTTGTGACAACTGCAGCAAACCGCTAACCGTGGTACTTGGGGACAGTGGTGGGCATCGACCTGGGCACGACGTACTCGGTGGTAGCCATTTCGCAGAAGAACAACGTGACTGCAATTGCAGACAAGAACGGCCACGTATTGGTGCCGTCCACCGTCGCATTCCTACCCAGTGGAGGTTCGTACCAAGGCTGCTTGTAAAGCAATCACCACTGACACCAATTCTGGTTGTTGCACAGCTGTCTTGGTCGGCCGAGAGGCACGAGCACACCGCACAACGGACCCTCAGCACACAATTTTCAACGCCAAGAGATTCATCGGTCAGAGGTTGGTTTGATGCAAAATAAAAATTGGCAAGAACTGGGAAGCTGACGGATGGATGCACTTTGTGTCGGCAGCTACGAAGACGTTCTGACATCAGAGGCCGACGAGAATGGAGGTACGCCGTACGAGTTCAGTGTCAAAATGCTGCGAGACAACGAACACGACGGCGTATGTTTCACGCTGGATCTACAAGACCATCCCAAGTGTGTGACCCCTGTAAATATTGGCACTGCAGTTGTGCAGCATCTCCGATCCATGGCTCATCAGTTTGTGGGCCACGAGCAGATCACCAAAGCAGTCATCGCAGTGCCTGTGGACTTCAACAATAGACAACGAGACGCCACCGTGGCGGCATTCCGAGCAGCAGGACTGGCAGTCTCTCGCGTGCTGGAAGAGCCGACGGCCGCTGCGATCGCCTACGGTCTGCACCAGGACCCGAATGTGAGCTTCATGCTGGTCTTTGACTTTGGAGGAGGCACACTGGATGTGTCGCTGCTCTTCGCACGCAATGGCGCCATCAGTGTGCTGGATACGCTGGGAGACAATCACCTTGGCGGCGAAGACCTGGACGCGCGACTGTCGGCTTGGCTTCTGAAGGAGTTTGAAGCTCATCTTGGGACGGCTATCACGTCTCGCGGGGCGGAAACTGAGACTAAGGCTACAAGCGTCGATAACGACAGCAAGGAGCCGCCATGTACCGTGGCCGGTGTCCGTCAAGCGGCCGAATTGCTGAAAAGGCAACTGACTGATGCCTCCGTCGCTACAGCTGCTTGCATCTGGAACGACGGTAAGAAGACGGTGCGAGTTGAAGTAAGAGCCACGCGGGTGCAGTTCGAAAAGCTCTGTGGCTCGTTGCTGGAGCGGACGATAATTCCTGTCCGTGAGGTTCTGGAGGCTAACAATATGGACACGGACGAGATCGACGCCGTTGTGCTGGTTGGAGGCTCCTCTCGAATCCCATGGGTGCGTCAACGCCTCACTGACATGTTCGAGGGGCGCCCACCACTCTCAGACATTGACCCTGACCTCGCTGTGGCGTACGGAGCAGCGCGTACACTCGATTAGAAGCAAAACCTGAAGAACCAATAGAAGACACGACCATTCATTGCAACAAATGACCACGATGACAGAGCCTAACTTGTCAGCTGTTTCTCCTCATCCATCACCTTAACTCTGAAACAACAGCTCTAGAGCGCCGTGACCGCCGTGCTCGCTGAGGGTAGTAAAGGTTCACACAACACAGGTTATTCGAGTACTCCAGCTCACCGACCTAGTTCCAAGACACTCCGTACCGATCTCAGCGAGCTCAGGCGATGAATACGCCGAGTAAAAGTCCTGAATGTAGTCAAGCGCAAACTTCTGCAGTCGCTCGTTGATCCCGTCGTCGTCCTGGTCGGCGCGGTAGCCACGTTGGGTCGCGATGGCCTTGGTACACGTCACGAGCGAGAAAGATGCGCGCAAGTTCTGCTTCTTGTTGAGCTCAATTGAGTGCGCATAGTGCTTACGCGCCTTCAGTAGGTTTTCCAGACCGCCGATCGTCGAGTAAACGTCACCCAGACGGCTGTGCGAGATGGCGTCCATGGGGTTCAGCAGCACCAACTCCTCGTAGCAGAAGGCTGCGTAGCGATACGCGCCCATGGACAGGTACGTCTCACCCAGCTCCGTCCACTGCAAGTAAAAGCACGTTGAACTGTGTTAAAACAGCTTTACGTAACCTGCACGCAGGAAATCGACGTACCGCCGCCTGGTCCGTGCCAAAGCTCCGCAAAAACTCGTTGAGCGCTATGATCACGTCCGCTGCCTTCTTCTGAGCCTTGAGCACCGCGATCTTACGCTTGAGCACCAGGGCATTGGCCGGGTTGGCTTCCAACAGCTCGGCATACAGCGCCAGGGCCTTAGCAAACTCCCCACTCTGTTCCAGCTGCATGCCCTCCAGTCGTGCCACTCGGGAGCTGCCCGGGAACTTGGTCTGCAGAGCCTTCAGGCAAGTCTATTGAGAAACGCCGAAGCAGGAGACATTAGAAGGATGACGGTTCTGCACCAATATTGAATTGACTTCACCTCTGCCAGCTCGTCGTCGTGTAGATCCAGGGCCGCGATGAATGTCTGTTCATAAATGCTCCACACTACCAGTGTATAACAGCAAATAAAGGGTTAAAACGCGGTACAATCCACGGCTATGATGCTTCAACGCGTGCTCACACTCGTCGCCGACGCCCCAGCTGTGCTTCGTCACTAGCAGCTTTCCAATGGTCGCAACGGCCTGCGACTCGCGTAGCTTCTCCTTGCGGACGTAGTGAAGCAGCTCTACGCACTTGTCGCGAGCGCCACTGCGCTCAGCCGCCGCCAGCTTGTGCTCGAACTCGCGCTGGCCCATGTTTTTGGGAGAAAATGTAAAATCTAATAAATACGTAGGTATTTTTTCAAATATAATTTATTTAAATTTGGAATGTGTCCAAGTTAATGCCAGTACTTTCCAGTAAAACAATACAAAGTACTGGCAGTAACAGTAAATCAGTTCAATCCTTCTTAGTTACTGTAGTAATAGTAATATAGTACTGGCTTACGACTAACTAAGCAGATCGTGTGTGGTCTACACTATCGTACCCTTGCCTATCGACGCTCGCCACTTCCATTCGACGGATCTCACTCCGGTTGTGCTTCACGAGCAACTGCATTTCAGCACGGCGGTTGTCCATTCTGGTGCAAAGAGAGTTCATGACGAAGACCTTCGTCGAAAACACGCGCTCATGGTACGCGTTTGTGTTCGAAGTGCTCGACCCTCGGGTCAGCGCCTTCGTGTGCAACGCAGTCGTGGATTCCAACGCAAAAGGGAGAGTGAGATTCGGTCTTACTCTTCCTACTTGTAACGGGGTACGTAGCACTAAGTGTACCCTGGTTACATGAAGTGTGACACTTCACACTTCAGGAGTATGACATGTCATACTCCGGAATATTTGGTACAAGGTACCAAGGTCATTCAAAACCAACCATTGGTTAAATGACATTGCATTTCTATAGGTAACTGATAGTTTGTATTAACCACAAACTTAACCTACCTATAAATATACTCAGTTTACAATCTACCTTATTTAGGTCACTTCGCTCTCTTTAATTAAAGAGGGGACCTGTGAACTGCCGTTCACTGAGAGTTTGTATACTCTCGGAAGATAACTTCCTCTAGCGCAAGGTGCTGTGTGACCCCGTCACACTTGGTAGCACTTGTAGTCAATCCACGCCATCGCGGGTAGACTACCTGAACCTCCGAAGTTCGTTGCCATGGATAGGAACGACTTCTCCCATATGAACGACTCTCAGTTCGAGTCGGTTCGGAAGATGGCAGGCATCTTCGGGATGGAGGCCCTGCAGAGCCTGGTGGTATCAACACCGGCTGAGCAGCTCGAGCGCGTCAATGCATTCGACGCGTACGAGCAGGGCCTCATCGCGCATGTGCGGGAGAACCTGCAGGCTCCGGCGGCGGAAGCAAACCCGCCTCACCCGAAGCCAATACGGCTGAAGGTAAAGCCGTATGAAGGGAAGGAAGGCGAGAACCTTCACTTCTGGGTCCGAGAAGTAGAGCTCGCGATGGACGCGGCTCTGATCTCGACCGAGCAACTGCGTGTTGCTTTTGCACTCTCCAACCTTAGCGGTCGTGCTAAGAGTTGGGTGTACACTCGGGAAGCGACATCCCCTGGATGTTTCACATCCTGGGCTCAGCTGTGCCAACAGCTCCGAGCCGCGTTCCTCCCGGCGAACTACGAGTACCGCCAGCGTTCGCGCTTCCTCGCGTGTAAACAAGGAAGACGCGAACTGCACGAGTATGTGCAAGAGATACGGGAGCTCACGGCGTCCCTAGTGGGAAACCCACTCAATGAACACATCAAGATGACTGTGTTCATGGACGGCCTTCGAGTGGGCCCCGCACGCACTCAGCTGTTCCGGGTGCAGGCAAGCACCCTTGAAGAGGTGATTCAAGTGGCTCTTCAAGAAGAGTACAGCCATCGCCAGGCGCGTACGCCGGCCTCAGCGTGGCATGGGAGTTCCTTGTCGGCTCCCGGTCGAACAAGCCCCAACGGACCAGTTCCCATGGAACTCGGGTCCGCCGAACAGCGTGACATCCGCTGCTTCGGCTGTGGGAAGATGGGCCACTTCAAGCGCGACTGTCCCGCGGAAAGACTCCGCAGACGGTCCTTCCCCAAGCCCGTCCTCAAGGGTCGCTGGCAGAAGCCAGGATCCCGGGGACAGGGGAACGCAGGGAACCAGTAGGGGCGGGGAAGAACTAAGTCTTCGTGATGGGTGCGCGGGTGGCGCGTACCACGGGGACTTAGCCCCTGAGAGTCTTCGCACTCTCGAATCGGCGAAGAGCAGCGGCGGGTTGCTCGTAGTACACGGATGTGTACGGGGGTACGATCACCCCTTTAGAATCTTGATTGACTCTGGGGCGTCGAAGAATTTCGCACGCCGCCAGACGGTTGCTCGTAACAGCAACAAGTTGTCCGAAGCTTTGCGAGAAAGCAAGGGCAACGGGACGGTGTCAGTGCGACTGGCCGACGGGAAGGTCGTCACTGTCCCCAACGTCCAAGTGGATCTGGCTGTCAAGTTTGAAGACTTTGACAGCCTCGAACAGTTCACTGTTCTCGATATGGATCCATATGATATGATCCTGGGCATGCCCTGGCTTGAGAAGCACGAGCCCTGGATCGACTGGCGAGGCAAGGCAATCGGTGCCAGCCGCCCTGCGCAGTCCGACAGAGCATTGGTGAGTCATGTTCCCACCTCTGTCAGGACCCGGGGCGCCCGCGAGGGCTGCCAGGGTACCAAAGCATCCGGCAGATGCTTGGGAGTCGTCGACGTATATGACGACTCCGAGGATGTTTTGATGGTGGCCGCGCCCAGAAGAGGCGCCGGCCAAGTGGGTAACTTAGGTCCACAGGCGGGTAACTTAGTTCCGCAGACAGCTGCAGCTGTCATGAACACTGAGAACAGCGTGTTCAGAGTGGGTAACAGAGTTCCACTCACGGTCGCCCAGACCATAACTGAAGAGGAAGACGTCGGATACGCTTCCTGTGTGAGTAACACAGTGCCACACGCGGTCGCCCAGACCTTAACTGAAGAGGAAGGCGTTGAACACGCTTCCTGTGTGGGTACAACAGTACCACACGAGGCCACGAGTGCCTCGGATGTCGTAGCGACGACATCCCTAGACGTGGGCAGCAAAGCTCCCCGTCACAGAAGCCGTCGGCAAAGACGCCGCCGCCGCCTCAAGTCGGATCCGAACTTCGTTCCGATCGACGTCGCTTCAAGCGACTCGGAGTCCAGGGCCCGGGCTCCTCCGACAAGGCCGTGGAAGAGTGCTATCACATCTTCGATAGCGAGACGGGTTTACCCGTCAAGGCATCTGGTGTCCACTGGAAACACGTTGCCAGAGGTTGCAGAGATACTGAACCTCGAGGAAATGACGGCTGAGTCTTTCCTGGCCAACCTCAAGGCTGGAGAGATCGCTGAGATGGTACTCATGAGACCTGAGACCACTCAGGAGGAGCTGAACTCCTCCTCTGTCTTGGACGAGAACGTCCTGGAAGACATGAACAAGCAGCGTCAGGCGCGCTTGGGTTCTGAGATTCTCAAGAACCCCAAGGATCCGGTGTATCCTTTGGTGACGGAGTATGCGGACGTGGTGAATAAACACCCACCGACCCAACTCCCACCGGATCGAGGCGTACGGCACGAGATTGATCTCGTGCCCGGCACAAAGTATTGTGTCACGAGGCAATGGCCTCTCCCGCGCGAACAGTGCGAGGTCATTGATGCCTTCTTCGCCGCGAAAGCGAAGGCAGGCATGGTGCGGGAGTCGAAATCCCCGCACTCGACGCCGACTTTCTGCGTTCGTAAGCCGAACGGAAAGTGGCGTCTGGTTCACGCTTATAACAAGCTGAACAACGCAACGGTGCCGGCCCAAACACCGATCCCACGAAAGGATGTGTTGTTGAACAACATGGCCGGGAGCGTACTGTACAGTGCGCTGGATTTGGTAGACGGATACTACCAAATCCTGATGCGAGAGAGTGACATCCCGCTCACCGCGGTAAGCACTCCAAGCGGCATGCTTTGGGAGTGGCTCGTCATGCCGCAGGGCTTGTCTAACGCCCCGGCGACGTTCAATCGCCTGGTGACGCAATTGTTCCGCCCTTTGCGTACCTTCGTACAGACGTACTTCGACGACATTTTCGTCCATAGCCGTGCCGAGGGAGGCAAGACGGCCATGGAGGTGCATCTAGGACACCTCCGTCGAGTGTTGGACGTGATGCGAGCGAACAAGCTCTACGCCAACATCGACAAGTGCGTTTTCGCGTCACCAGAGATCAAAGTTCTCGGTTGCTTCGTAAGCAACGTGGGCGTTCGGGCTGACCCAGACAAGGTCAAGGCCATAGCAGCATGGCCGACGCCCCGATCCCAGAAGGATCTTCGAAAGTGGTTGGGTTTGGCCAACTACCTTCACAAGTTCAGCGCAGGGTACGCGGGCTTCGCTAAGCCCTTGTCGAGCCTCCTTCAGATAGACGTCGACTGGCGCTGGGAGCAAGAGAACCAGGATACCTTCAACAGCATCAAGGCCAGCCTCCTGTCCTGCCCTGCCGGACGAGACGAAGCCATTTAGCGTTGTCTGCGAAGTCTCCGACTACGCCATCGGATGTGCATTGCTGCAGGCCGACACGGCTGGACAGGAACGATTCATCTCGTTCCAGTCCAGGCAGCTCAAAGGCGCCGAGCGGAACTACCCTGTCCACGACAAAGGGCTCCTGGCAATGAAATATGCCCTTGTGAAGTTTCGTGTTCACCTTCTGGGCTCTAGGCTCTTTGTGATCTACACAGACCACGCGTCCCTGAGTACGGCGACTAACTCGCCTCACCTCTCCCAAAGGAAGGCTAAGTGGCTGTCCTTCTTCGCGGAATACAACTTCCGCGTCGAATACAAGCCGGGCAAGCTCAACGTGCTTGCGGACGCCCTCTCTCGGCGTCCTGACTATGAGTTGGCCCACATCACGCCGGGTGACAACGGATCTATATTGATCGGATACGCATGGCGTATCGGGACGATGAGGCTGTCGCGCCTATCGTCAAAGTTCCTTAAGGCCGGAACGAGCGCGAAGTCCCGACTGGCTCTCGTCGCGACAGCGCTCACGGCTCCACCGATATGAGTTGAAGGAGGGCCTCCTCTATTATCGGGTGGAGCCCACTGATCCTCCACGGGTGGTCGTACCCAACGACGAGGATCTGAAGTTCGACATCCTCGCGGAGGCGCATGACGCGCCCTCCAGCGGCCACTTGGGCCGCGAGAAGACCTTTCTGTCGGTCTCTCAGTCCTTCTGGTGGACCCAC